CGCACACAGACCATGCCGACGTTTCTGAGAGCCCCCCCCAACTGCACCCTTTGTTGGGAGCAGATGTTTCAGCTTCATGAAGATCCTTTGCAATAATTTATGCAAAGGGCAGATAACTGGTCTTTGATGTCCAATCACCTCCAAGACACCCCAATGCAAACCCAAATGTATATTTTTGTTGACAAAATAAGCAAACTGACACCTCATTCTTTCGTGGGCAAATTTACTTCCCTCTTGTTGCCGTGGGAAACCATCAGGTTGGAAGATATAGAGCCAGTACGTGAAACTTTATCGATAAGAGCTGCCCCAGTCCCCAAGTCGCAGCGTCAGCAATAGCCCCTCAGCCCTACGGCAGGCCCACTGCCTGTCCCAGCAGCTCAGATTAGCACTTTTTAGTAAAATAGGCCAGCTGTACTTCCATACAATTACACTAAGGAGGGATTATGGTAATAACGTATACCACGGTCTTTTGGGTATTCTGCAGCATTTCAAAATATTAGCAACAAAATAATTTGCTCAGTGAATTTTACCACTAATATTTCAAAATTCCACAGCACAGAGTTGCTTTCGCATATACCGTGGTATAAAGTCCGGAGGACGTGACGGTATGAAAGACCCCAACCCTGATCGGAATGCTAACAGATGTTAGTAGGACCTCATAGAGGATTTACTGTTACAAAGTTCCATGTTCTTTACAGTTACTGATGTTGCTCATTAAAAGCTTCTGTAAAGAACCACATCATTATACTTTGTCATGGAAGCCCAGGACTGCAAAATGAGATGAATCAGACCATCATTTTCGAGACACCAATGCTTGTTTGCCCTTTCCGAATGTCCAAATAAAGAGTTACAGAGGATTAGCGACATCTTTGCACGGAGTGTTTACAAGTAGGCTGCCAGGGAAGTAGCATTTTCTGCATGTTCTTCTGTTTTTATCCCCTGCGAGCGAGGTGATGAAGTCTTATTAATGCAGAGGCTTGTTCGCCGGTTTGTTTTGGATGCAGCTGTGATGTCTTAGCATGCTGCCCGCTGCTTACCGGGTACACAGCAGCACCCACCACAGGGGCCTTCACGGAAACATCGCTGATCCACATACTGCTGGAAAAATTTTGCCTTTCTGTGTGCGTGTTTAATCTCAGCTGAACTGAAAAGCTACCTAATGTACCTTTCCAGCCTTATCGTTTATTTCCTCGTCCTATTGGTGTGTTTTTTTTATAGTAATTGTGTTTATTGTGTTTCTGTCTGGTAACACTTTACTTGACGGGGCACAAATAATATAGTATTATGCTATTACTTATATATTAATTAACCACAGACTAAGTCCTAGTTACATATTAATCACATATTTGTTCATCATTAATGAATTGCGATGCAATTTTTATCCCAAGCAGTTACCATATTTGTTACTATATCTAATTCTGTAAACCTTTGTTAATTACTGAAGGAACAAATCATGAATAACACAAGTGAAATGCTGATCTCATGTTTGTTCATCATTAATGAATCATGATGCATCTTTTATCTCAAGTAGTGACTAAATTTGTTCATGATTTGTAATTGTGTCCCGTCAAGTAAAGTGTTTGTTTTTTTTGCCATGGTCTAATTTCTGGTAAAGCTGGTGTTGCAGATTGGCATAATAGTTGTTTGGCTTGCAACTATCACATCCTCCATAACACACTATTGTTATGCACGCACTTCCTGCTAACTAGTTACAGGTAAGAACTTGCAAAAAGGCAAAACAAAAATTAGATGGTTTTTACTTACCTGGTAACATGGTTCTTCTTTAAGGGATGAGGTTCCATTACTAGGGAATTACTGTAATGCAAGTTTAGTCATTAAATGTTATATTCAGAGATATTACACAGGGGGTGTCTGCTGGTTCTGTGTTGATGTGCAGTGTAGCAGGTCATTGGTTCAAATCCCAGAGTTGCCTGGGTGATTTCACCTTTGTACTCCTAAGTACAGCCTGTAATCTTTGCTCCAGAGATTCTCTCATCCTGCTTTCTCAAGAAAAAAAGATCTACGTCTTTTTGGAAAAAAGTCTCAGCTGAAACATACGTATCGGATAAGCAGTCCTGTAACACGGACGGATCGAGTCGGAAGTGTTTACCTCCGTCATCTTTACTTACACACTGATTGCATTTACCATATAACAGGCAGCCCATGCAGTGATATGTACTCTGTGCTTAGTGTTATAAATGGAGATTGTAAGTGTGCCGTGTTTTATCCTCGTGTAAAACCCTCCTTAACAGTGGCAGATTTACTGGTGGCACTGACTGGATCCCGTGCTGTAAATCTCTCCCATGTTACCGCGCCTCGGTTCTCGTACTGCAGTGCTTTGGCTGAACTTTAGCGATCTGTCTTCGTGTGCCGGGTGCTGATTGGCTGAGGGAAGCCCTGGTGAGTGTGTGTGCACGTGCGTGTTGCTTGGACGGGCCAGGACCCCGTCTTCACTTGGCTGACAGCGGTGTACTGACTGAGCCGCTGCCTGCCGTCTTTATGACCCTGCGCTGTCACTGTTTATGTGAAGTTTAATACCAAATGGGCTTCGTATCCAGCTTTTTCATGGCACGAATGTGACGTCCTTTTGGTATCACCATCCTGGAGCCCCCGCCCCCCCCCCCTCCCATATACATGCCCTCCTGAATCCTTGACCAGAGTGAGCAATTAGAGGATGGTTCAAGGATGGATGGATGATTGTTGGATGGATGGATGACTGTTGGATGGATGGATGGATGGATGGATGGATGATTGTTGGATGGATGGATGGATGGATGGATAACTGATGGATGGATGGATGGATGGATGGATGATTGTTGGATGGATGGATGAATGTTGGAGGGATAAATGGATTTGGATGGATGGATGGATGACGGATGGATGGATGGATGGATGATTGTTGGATGGATGGATGGATGAATGTTGGAGGGATAAATGGATTTGGGTGGATGGATGGATGGATACCTTAGATGTATTTCTATATACATTCATACAGGGTGCCGATTCTTTTTGAACTGCTGTTTGCACCTTTTATTTAGTTCTGATTTCCCGCCAGGCTGCGTTTCCAGCCCCCGGGTTCTGCTGTCTAACTTGATTCCCTCTTCATGCCTGTTTAGGTCTCCAACCTGTACCTGTATGACAGCGTGCTGATGCTGGCCAACGCCTTCTACAGGAAGTTAGAGGACAGGAAGTGGCACAGCATGGCCAGCCTGAACTGCATCAGGAAGTCCACCAAGCCGTGGAACGGGGGCTGGTCCATGCTGGAGACCATTCAGAAGGTGGGGGGGGGGGGCGCTCTCCTCTTCTGCGTGCTGCTTCTTCATATGGGCCAGATGTTCTAACGCCTCATTTACTCCTCCCTCCGCTTACTGTGCATGTCTGTCTTTCACCACGGCAGAATGCCTTATTTGGGGCGGCTCAGTCAGCGTGCAGACTGTGTGTGTTTTTCCCCGTGTCTGCATGGATTCCCCACTGACTGCCCATTTTCCGGTGCTGAGAGGCATGTCCTTTCGGGGGACTGCCCCCACTGCACCCGCAACTGAAGAGCGAATTTCCAAATCTCACTCGGTCTACAGCATACGTTTTTGAGAACATTCTGTGGGCTTAGTGAGTGTTGGAAATGTAACTTAAGTGCTTCATTGGATTAGCTTAAGAAGAGTGGAGTGAGTGAGTTTTGGAAAGTTGCTCTTCGGTTCAAATATGAACTACTATAAAACTGTTTTAAGCGTTTCCAGCAGTTTATGTTTGACATGCCAGTTTGCGTTTTTCACTTTTGCCTGTGGGATCAACATGTCAGGTAGCCTGGTGCACATTGACAGTGTGAAGATGGGCCCGTATGACGTAAATGCCTTACGCTTCTTCATTATGATGTTGGAGCTGCGTGTGCGCATGGACTGGACTTCCATCTGGTCCTTCAGCTCACCCTCCTTCCAAACGCTGCCTGGATGGACAGGCATGGCCTGGGCGTTTCCTGGACTGACACTGCACATGCATGTCATCTTTCAGGTTCTATACTTAGCTGTGTAGTGGCTGCTATTCAGACCTCAGGAATGAGAAGAGTGAGGCTCTTTTCTATTTTATTCCAGTGTAACCCACTGGTGTCCTTGTCATTTGTGCTATTACTGTAAAAACCAGGCAGTTACGCTCGTTGCTGTTTCTGTTCCACTCCCATCCTCTCGCTCTTGTTTTTACGGCTGACCTGCAGTGCTGAAGTGGCACTGGAGGCTTTGCTCGGTTCCCCGGTTGGGAATTTGTCAGACTTGCAGTGATTGAGTGACAGCTGACTTTTTCGCAGCCTTTCGTGGTGGGGGGGAGGCTGGGAGAAGCCAGATGTAGGCCCTAAGCAGGCGGGAAGGAGGTGGACACACCAGAGATGGCAGACACATGTAGCTAGAGAGTTTTGCCAGAACCTCGAGGACGGGGAATGTGTCCCTTGCATTTTATCTCTGTGTGTCATTGTAATTTTCTTGCGCACTCATGCTCGTTATCTTGCTGCTAGGCTGCTGGTATCTGGCCCGAAAATCAGGCAGATGTTTCTGTGTTTTCGCAAAGAGTTACGGAGTGAGGTCACGGCTGTGAAATCGCATTACTGTTTATGCTGACAAGGCGCTATGCCAGTGAGAGCCTGCAGGGCGGCAGTCTAAACTACAGGCTGCCGTGCGTTCCCTGTACAACCGCAGTGTGGCGTGGAGGACACCTAAGGCGGTCATGTGAGGCGTCTGTGTTTTGAGCCGAGGAGTCGCTCCTGGGTGGGTCCCGCCCCCCGCAGGGTGCTGGGAAGTGGCTCCTGCACGGCGTCCCTGGGTGACTTGGCTGGGAGGAGGTGTACAGGTCAGCCTGTGCCTGGGGGGCAGGTACGAAGTGGTAGGAAGACAGAGCCCCACTGGAGCCCTGCTGGCACGCTGTCTGTGGCGTTGAACCCCCCCATGGCTCTGTCTGTGGTGCTGAACCCCCCCCCCCCCACAATGACCCAGTCTGTAGTGCTGAACCCCCCCCCCCACAATGACCCAGTCTGTAGTGCTGAAATCCCCCCCCCATGGCCCTGTCTGTGGTGCTGAAATCACCACCCTCCCGCAGCCCTATCCATACTGCTGAGTTTGACTCTCTCTAGAGACACCGTCCGTGGTGCCGAATCTGACTGAGTGCCGCTGTCACACTGCCCGTGGTGCCGAGTCTAACACAGAGTTCAGCCATCACTCCGACCTGTTACGCTGTCCGTGGTGCTGAGTTGAGCTCCTATTGCAGTTATTTTATGATACCATCCCAGGTGATACCACGCCTGATTCTATCCCAGGTGATACCACGCCTGATTCTATCACAGGTGATACCACGCCTGATTCTATCCCAGGTGATACCACGCCTGATTCTATCCCAGGTGATACCACGCCTGATTCTATCACAGGTGATACCACGCCTGATTCTATCCCAGGTGATACCACGCCTGATTCTATCCCAGGTGATACCACGCCTGATGCCATCTCATCCCTTCCATGCCCCCATCCTGGCTCGATGTTCATGGCACTAAGTTCTGGTCCTATCCCAGACCGTGCCGCTGTCTATGGTGCTGATCTGCATGCTTAGGGACACAGACACACACATCTGTCTGTGATTTTATATGCAGTGAGGATGAGAGCATAGTAAATGTTAATTGTCAGTGTTTATATCCAAGTCAATCCCATGCTGCATGTACCCATTGTTACATCTTTGTCCCCATCTCCTATCTTCGGCTCGTTATGCTGTCCGATTCAGGCAGCTCCGACGTCACGTAATTTATCCTCCACACAGGGACGCATCACCGGACTCACCGGCGTCATGGACTTCCGTGACAGCGGCTCCAACTCGCACGTCCAGTTTGAGATCCTGGGCACGAGCTACAGCGAGACATTTGGAAAGGACGTGAAGCGGGTGAGCTTGTTTTCCCGAATGTGATGCCATAATCGTTCAGTGTCCCTGTTGCTATGCTCATCATTCCTTACATTCTGGGGGAGGGCTTTTCAGGTCCGCCATCTTGGGAGGACAATTGGGAAAGTTGCCCTGACCCTGAGCCTGGGCCGGGAGGGGGTGAAGAGAGAATATCATGGGGGCCCATTTGAAGTAATTTTGTCAGAGAGCTGGGAATAATAGGTGGTGGGTCTGGCGGTGATAGGAGGTACCTGGTGGTGCAGGAGACTCCAAGGTATATGGGCAGATTAACCTTTACCACCCACCATTACCAGCAAGTTTGTGCTGGTGGTCAGTTTCTGACACTTTAGAGTCTCTTTGCTTTGGTTGTTGTGAGATGCAGTTTTGTTTACAAGGCTCTGACAGTTTGAATGAACTCGTTGACTACTTATTTTACTGGCTAGGCATGAAGCACCATTATCCTTAATTAGTTAGATTTACCTTTGACTATTTAGCATATGCCTTTATCCAAAGTGACGTACAACCGCGGGTGCAGGGACAGCCAGTCCCTGGAACTGTTGAAGAGCAAATTTATGAACCTCACTCAGTCCGTGGAATATGTTCTGTGGATTTTAATGAGTTTTGGGTATTTGATGCAAGTTCTTCATTGGACTATCTGAGTAAGTTTTGTTCCCAGTGTTGTAACATATGACAAAGCAAAAAAAAAAAGGAATTTAATCTTCAGTTGGAGGTAAAGGGCCTTGCTCAAGGGCCCAGCAGTAAAATCACTCCACAAACCGTTTATTTACATGCCTCATTAAGCTGCAGTAACTCAAACGTGATGTGTATTTCAGGAAGTCTTTCACACGTCTGACTATGTGTTGATAGAAATAATCTTTAAACTCTATTACTCACTAGTTATCAGATGTATGCGTTGGTCTGCCAAGGAAAACACAGCTCTCATTAAAAAACATTTTCTTATAATGCAAAGCTCTTTATGTGAAGTTAACGCAGCCACAAGTGTGACCGAGCTCTCACTGTGTGACTGCATCAGGTGTAAATTTTAATATTTATATAATGCCTGTCAATACCTTGAAAATACAAATGGAAGCCCTTATTCAGGTGTTTTTTTAGTTAATATGTAGATACCTTAATGGCGTTTGGCTCTAAAGAGATCCCTTTGTTATTGTGAAAATGAGAGCATCACTGTCGCTTTGCTTGCACGTTAATACCAAGGTTTTTTCTCACATATTCTTAGTTTTCCTCCCCTCAGTTCCACCCCCTCAAAAGCAGCCGTTGAAAACTAATTATCTGCTGTCATGTCTCTGATTTCAGCTATAATTTTGACTGCTGCCAGTCGACCCTCATCCGGCGTGCTCCTCAATGTTGGTTTACGATACGCTAGGAAATAAGAGGGCAAAAGGGTGCCTGTACCTACAATTACGGCATTTATCTCATATGGCGCGTGAGATGCGGGCCTAGATACCAGAAAGATACCACAGACAGGTGTGATGTGGATTACTCTGTACCTGCAGTATCCCAAAGGCAGCCAGGGAAATCCAGGTGTGATTTAGATCACTTGAGTACCCACAGCGTAATATAAAGTTTGCATAATTTATTAACAACTCATAATATGTGGCATAATCTTTTAAGCATTTTAAGTCCTATATCTCCTTGTGTCTCTAAGTAATTTAATTTCCACTCAAGCATCATGGAAGCACAAAGTGCCATGAATGTGAATTAATAATTGATTTCATACAATTTTTAAATGGGTGGTTGGATCTGTTTGGATACCTGTTTAAATAATACAATCGAATGTTTATGGCCATTATATGTATTAGATGTAGTAGAACATTAATAATGCAGATTTTGAATATATTAAGTATATTCTGTAAATCTGATCAGCCGATTGTATGTTTTTTTGTCTAGTTTTATTTAATATCTATTAGCGTTTTTGTCTGTATTTTTGTTTGACTTCTTGTAATGGTGGCTGTACTTCTGATGTCATCGTCACAATGGAATCCTAATCAGAGACTGCCCCGATATTGCTCAATGTGACGCGCGCAGTTGGTCCGATCCCTTGCGAGCGGTTCTGTTCTGAGCGTGCCAGAAGTGCCAGTAGAACGTGGAGTTCGGTTTGAAATCGATGGTGCAGGGGAACCGCGATGGTAATGCGTAACGCAGATCGCCGAGAGCTGCAGACATGTTCTGTGGGCGGCTGGTTTCCTGGGAGGGAAGTCCTGTAGGAATTGCTTTCATCTGGAACCGAAAGCACAGAGAAGGTCCAGCACAGGTGTCGGTCTGTTTTTTCTTTTTTTTTTTGAAAACCTCCTCAGGAGTGTTAGAAAATTCCCTCAAAAATGAAAAAAAGTGCAACTGTCTGCTGTGCAGGTGAGTCTCTCTCTGTAGGAAGCCACTCTGCCAGCTCTATGCTGTCTGACGTCGTCTCTATCGGCCGGTGTTTTTTTCCCCCTCTTTTGTTTCCCGTGGTGCCCAGCCTATCTGTTCCGGCTCGGCCATCACCGTGATGGAAAACAGGGAGGCGATGCAGTCCGCGAAGAGGCGGGACGCGGACGAGGCGGTACCGTAATGAACATTTAATCACCGCGCATCCCAACTTGAATTATGAAGCCAATTTATCACATTATGAGCATTAGGGGCCGTGGGCCTGTGGTCATTTTCGCTGTACGCGCGAGACGAAGCTGGGGGCCTCACGCCGAGTGCATTTATTAAATGCGATGAAAGGGAAGGACAGCTAATGGCATGTCAGATGCACTCAACGCCGCTGTTGTTCATTATTACCACGGCCGCGGCCTCCGCCCGCGCCGCCGAAGGAGCAAATGGCATGACCTGGACACCACAGCAGGTGCTGGGCATGTGGCTCCTACCCCAGTGACTTGAAACAGAGGTTCGCAAGCTGGTTGGCTATCATTCTTGGAGCAGATGCATTGCATTCTGGGTAAATCTCCAGCCGCACACATTCAGCCGTTATGCGGTGTACCTTTACCCAAGTCTCTGTTACAGCCTTGGCCTGCGATCCTGCTCGTTCCCACACCGCACAAACAGGGAGCTTACGTAAAGGGGATGTCGATGCTTTTAGATTTAGAGTAAAGGAAGTGACATCACAGCTTTGTTCCACCTTACGGTGTCTCTGTGAAGATCCAGAGCGCGGCGTCTCCAGCCTGTGCACTGGTGAAGTCGCCCCAGCCACACGCTGTGAACCAGCACATTAAACCCTCCTCTTTGTTCTCGGTGTAAGTCTGGCCCCCATTGAGATTTTGGATCCACTTTCCGCTTTCTCTCCTTCTCACTAGAGGACCTTAAAGGAAACCGCTGGGATGCTGATTTGGCTGTCAGAGCTTGAGAGGGCGACGCTGGGGCCTGACGGGCCTTTATGGGCTCCTCCCAGCTTCTTGGTGCTGATTAAATCTCAACTGGGTGGCAGCGAGCTGGGGGGGGGCAGTTACTTCTTGTCTAACAGAGTGATAAAGGCGAGGGCTCATAATTTTTTATTTTTTTTATGAGCGAGGGCTCATAATGACAGGCAGGATCCAAACGAGACTTCTCGGGAGATTGAAGGCGGGCTGCCTTGGGTTATTCATTAGCCTGCGGGGGGCGCTAATGCTTTGAGCTCAAGGTGAGATGTTACACAGGATCGAGGTTTCGGCCTTGTCAGGGCTGGCCGCGAATGCTGATGGTAGGCTCCTGTGCCCTCTGGACGAGAGGGTAGAGGGGGCATTTATGTGGAGTGTCCCGCATATTAGCCGTGGGCATTATCGTGAGAATCCCCACCCATGATTAAAGCACAAACCCGAGATAAAAAAGTGCGCCATGACAGCCAGAACGAACCCTGGCCATGCATTATGCATGCCCCCCCTTTTCGAAAAAGCCCATGCCAGTAAGTGCCTCTCCACTAATATCGATTTAGTTTTATTCGCCGCGGTTTCTGTGTGTATTTTCGTGCTGCTCTGTTGCGTCTCCGAGGCGGGACCAAGCCGAAATGTTAAACGACGCCCCTCAATCGAGGCGCCACATAGTTCTGTGCCAGATTATACCAACGATGAGAAATTAAAAGGCAAACAGTTCATAGAAGTTGGGAAGAGAGACTCTTTATTCACGTACTTCTGACAGGAGGTGCTGCCAGAATGCTTCCAGATGATTCCGGAGTGGGCGGAGGATCTAGTTGGGTATGTGGAACGCGACTCGATTCCGGATACTTACTTAATCACTGGAAAAGAGTTATATCAAGGAAAAATGAATGCATCTGCCCAGTGAGGAATGAAGAAACGACAGCTTTCTTTCTTTCTATAAGAGCCATCTGCAGAGCCTCGTACCGGGGGAGGGGGGGGGGGGGGGGGGGGCACCTGTCAAACGTCCTGCTCAACCAGCACGGACAGCTGAGGTGTCCCCTGGAGGATCCTGTAGCAGTGACTGGTCCCCATATGCTGTTTGGCTCAGTGGCGTTTTTCCGGCAACATAAATGAACTGGCTTACACCCCCCCACCCCTGGGTGGCGCTATTGAAAAACGGCATGGTTTTCTGGTGCCTGACGTTTTCTAAAAACACACCCAAGAATAAGAGCGAGATGGGAAAGCGGTGCTAATGCCGGTCATCCTTACAGAGCAAACAATTTGATATTGTTATGATTCTCTAGGGCAGTTATCTACATGCTGGTTCATTTATGCACGTTATTGACTGAGAATAGTGGAGGATTTCATTTGTATATCAGTATTTTTTCTTGGATACTGGGATTTCTCTTTCATTAATTCAATTACATGCCTTATATTTGACTTTGGGAAAAATATTTATGGTAATTTCTTAAGAAAAAAACCTTTTCCCTGATGTCTTCGTGACTTACTTGTTCTTTCTATTTAATTTGTTGTTTTATTAGTCATGCGATTGAGCCCCAGGTAGCACAGCTACGTCGTCAGTGAGATTCCCATCCTTTCCTTTTTCCCTCCCTTGCTATCTTCCGCTCTCCCCTGGGATCGTCTAAACAAACAGGGCTCGGAGGAAACCTTTCG